TAAAATAGTGTCATTTTATTTCCCCCAATTTCTATCCAATTTCCCCCAGCTGATGAACATTTCCTTTCATAATGGATGACGACAAACAGCATTGGTGAAAACAAGGCACTCACCTGCCTTACTTTAAGACAGTCTGATCTGTTACAAGGATACACGAGGCCAATGCACATGCTGATGTAGCTGCCTGCGGGCTCCCACCGCTTTCTGGCTAGCTGCGGTCGCATGTCATGGAGAGCCGGCTGTCAGCGGCACCTGCTAATGATCAGGCCTCCAGTACAGTGGTTCCTGGGGATTCCGGCAGAATGGGAACAAGCAGGCAGGATAGGCGTTGTGGTTGCAGAGTCACAGATGGGCCAGCAGTTACCCTGCACGTGGCAGTGCCTTCCAGGGGCCCACCAGCCTGCGGCCACAGGCAGCACCTCCACCTCCCGGGAGCTCCTGGCAGGGGCAGGAGGAGAGGCTGGCCCGCCTCTGCCGGGGCCTTACCTCCCTCAGTAACCCTTAACTCAGCTGTGAAAAACAATCGCATAAAAACTACTTTAAAAACAGACCAAAAAATGTACTAAATAGATAGAAACAATAAAGGGAAAGAGTTTGGTAAAGACTTGGTTAATTTTTCTTGGTTTCTTTTTTATGTACTTGAAAATATCATCATCTGAATGTATTTCTATATATTTTTATAAAAGATATACAGATATGGGGGCAAGAGGGAGTGGGGAAAAAAGATATACAAATACATCTTTAAAAAGATTGTCAAACAAATACTTCTTAAAAGACTAAGAAATTTAAAAACAACAAAGCAGATAATATGTGTGAATCACATCGTAAGTGGTGAAGGATCTGCTTTCATTATATAAAACTAATCCTTACATAGGTTGCATAAAAAGCCGAGAGGATTTGCAATAATCTAATGACCTACTGTATACTGACACTATCACAACTATAATTTCAAAACTCTCATAATTTATAGTATGTAGTTTTTGTAAAAATGTCCAGGGAATTGTTCTTACGCATATGAGCCAAATTTGGGGAGTAACAATGAATCTCTCTCTGAGCCTAAGGATGAGGAACCCTTAAACGTGGAGTTGGCAGTGGCCCCTGAACACCTGCTGTCTCTCCTGTTCACTAGCTCACGTGCGCAGTCTGCAAACACAGCAGACTGCAGCCTGGCAATATCGTTTTCTGCTCTAGTAAGGAAGACACATGCACATACGCACACACGCGAAGTCCCCGGGCATCTGGGGCTACCAGAGACCATCATATTGCACAGTTCCTGTGTTCAGGGAAAGGTGGGAATACACAGAAACATGGAACCTCAGTCACAGCCAGTTCAGTTTTCAATCCAGGGTTTGCACGTTGCTTTGAACTTTTGATTTGAACCCTTAAGTTCTGACCATTTGGGACATGGCTCCCTTTCACATGCTCCCTAGCAGTGTACCTCTTACCTCAAAGCACATCTTCAAATGCATCTTTTTAATCTTATCTTAGGCAACACACACTTGCTTCCGTGAATTACCAGATGACGTGCATAGGTTAATTTCATCTGTACTGATGTGAGTGCTGATGCACAAGGAGCAATATCAAAGCAGGTCTGGTGTGTTCAAGTATTTCTAAACTTCCATGGTTTTAATTCTTGTAACTACAGTATTTAGATAGATACACTGCTATCTTAAAGACCTTTTTTCAAGTAATACATACATAATGCGATGTGAAGAAAACTATCACTGAAAACTATTTTCCCAAATTATGACTTACATCTACAATAATGAGAAGCTATTAACATATTCTTTTAAAAAATCTCTAAGCTGATCTAGTGCTTAGAATTTTGCAATTTCCCATTGCTCTGCTATTTTCCCATTCTGTATGCACAGCACAGATTCCTGCCAAGCCTATTACAGTGAACAAACAATGTCCTCTCTGTCAGAACAGAGAATGAATAGTATCACAAAATTCTCCTCTAATGTACAGCCTACATTCCCCCGACCCCGACCCCTTCAGAAGAAAATAACCAGGATGAGGAATGAGGAGGAAAATACGACTTCCCTCTTTCTTGCCCATCTGAAATTCCCTCTAGAAACTACGGGCTAAGTAGTGTCAACTATATAATACCAACTTCTAAACAGACAAAAGTTGACAAGTATATTTTCTTTTACATTGGATCATACATTTTTGCATTTCTCTGTGTGTGGGTGCACAAATATCTTTATAAGGAAGGAAGGAGGCATTATATCAGGTAAAATTTCAGCAGGCATTTCATCAGATAAAATGAAACAGCTTTTAGCTACAGACTGAGCAGCAACAGGGAAACTTCATAGAAATGACACAACAATTTGTGCTAAAATATTGGCAGCTAATTCATGAATGCCAAAGCTGACTGTGAATTCAGCTGCTTCTGTTAAGCCTTCATTTCCACTAAGCTCATGATTCATAAAGAAAGCACCTACAGTTACTCCTCGGAAATGTATAGTATGATGCTGACAGATTCCCCTTTGGCGTTCCCTCTTTCCCTCTCTTTCTCTCTCTCTCTCTCTCTTTCTCTATTTGTCTCTCTCTCTCTCACTCACACACACACACACACACACACACACACACACACACACACACCCTCCCCACAAGAAGCATTAAGGATATGATTTTACAAAACAAGAACTTCATGAAGCATTTCTCACAAACCAACAAAAGGCTTACTTAATAGGCATTTTCATAAAAGAACACGGACTTCCTTAAAATCTTCCATACTTGTAAGTCTTAGCTGGTGTAAAATATTATAATTCGGGTTTTCCCTTCTTGTGACATGAATATAGCATATATTTTATTGTAACCTCTAAAGAAAAGTACCCAGTTTTTTTCCTCATAAAGGTTGAAATGCTATTTTTATAATTGAACCACATTGGCTTTTATTTTCATGAGTATCTGTAACACGAAGAAAAAAGTCCAGCTTCTCCTTTCCTCCCTTTTTCCCACACATTTTTAGTGCAGCTCAGTGAGCTCCCAGATTCTGACAGCATTCTCCTGGTAACACATTTAGAAGAGGCTGCAGGATACCCCAACAGCTCCGCTTTCTTCTCTCTCTCCCTCTCCCTCTTTCTCTCGTATCACTCTAGGTCTGTATTAGACTAAACAATGAAACCTTTGTGCTGTACCACGGCAATTCAAAAAATTCTAATGCTCTGCCCCCTTATTGGTACAATGGTAATATTTACCCTGGAGAAATGTTTGTCCAAGAAAGTATTCCAAATTCTGGCAATGTATTCCCTTTGCAATTTGGTGGTGAGAGTTCTCTCTTCTGTCTTGGCCTATAATCAAAGAGAAGGAAAGTTAGAAAAAAAAGACAGATGGATATAGACTGTGAAAGATATTTATCCAGTTCACTGTAAAAATGCTAGTTTATTTATGCGAAACCTCGAGCTTTATATTCCTTCCTGAACAAAGCAAATTGCAAAGTAGAGGCAAAACTGTAAATAGTAGTGAATAAAAAATTTTTGCTAAAATGACAGCCAAGTCAGTGCCTGATCAAATACAAATCAATTTACTCACTCTTTCCATATTCTTCCTGGTTTATACCAAATAAATCTGTGTGTTATTGTAGTGATGTTAAAATTCAAGTAACTTATCTGAATTTGAAATAGAACAAGTGATTTGTCTGAAATGAGCATTTATGGTTTTTGGTAAGGTAAGTGTGGTTCAGTTCTGAAAATTTCTTGTTACAAGGAGATTTTGGTGCAGTGTGAACAGTGTGACCTGAATGATGTGCAGATCTGATCCCAGGTCATCCCTTCGTGTATTCTGCTGTCGAAATGGGAAGATGCACAGAAATGGAGAGACTACAGGGATGACCTCCCTCGCCCTCGCTTCTGGTCTGTCACTGCCCCAATCCTGTCTGCGGTCCTGCTCTACTGTTGGTGCCCAACCCTGCCTCCATCCCCTCTAGCTTCCTCTCTAGTTCGCTTCCCAGCCTAGAATAAGTATCTCCTGAATTGAACATTTACTTTACGCAAGACACAGGTACAGTGTGAGAGGGAGGAGGGCAGAGGGATGGAGGGAGTGAATGAATGAATGACCGTATTTACATTTAAGAGAGAATATCCTTGCTGTTGACTAAGATTCAGAACCTCTCAATTATTTTAACCAACTGAGGCACAATTCCTGATTTTCAATATAACAAACTGAGTAGAACGCGAACCTTCAAGATTTGCATCTACTGACATTCTTTTGTTAGGACCTCATCTTATCTTAGACTGTGTGTTGCTTTCTTCCACAGCAGAATCGGCAGAATATTTGTATTATCTTGAGGTACATCTATTGTTTCCTTGACAGTTATCAAGTGAGAAATGCTGCCTTTTGTTTGCCACTGCATTCAGCTACATTATTATTTTCTTTTAATAAGTCTAAAAAGATCAGAATAAGACACACAATTGTGGGCTGTCTTCCTCTAACCTGACTCCAGTTCTTTCCACTGTCAATCATGCAAACTAGGAGGACAGGGCTTCACTGGGTGCAGGGATTGACAGACAACTGAGTTCTCAAGCCAGCGTTTCACTCTTTCATTAGATTTCAAATCAAACCTCCTTCTGAACCCCTGCCATACAGGTATATTTAGATGTGGATTCCCACTGTAAACCTCTCCGTTTCTCTGTGTCATCATGGTTGATCCCAAAGAACTCTCCTGAATTAGAAATACTAGCAAAATTTGATTACCTAAATCAAATTGCTGCAGTAAAAAAAAAATAATGAAAAGAATAAAAATTTTTTCTTAAAATGCCAAATCCTATTAATGCATACTAGAAATATGTTTGGATATGCTCTATTACTAGATATGAGTAAAGAGCCTGATTTGAAAATTGGATACACGATTTGACAGTTAATTTAATAAGAGTGGTACATAGTTTTATATTTTCAGAATATACATTTCATGAATTAAAAATATTCCAAGGAAACAAAGTAATCAAGACAGTGTGGTACTGTCATAAGGACAGACACACAGATCAACAGGTTGAACTTTACTATCCAGAAATAAACCCATATATTTATACTCCTTCAATTATATGGTAAATTGATTTTTTTGACAAGGGTGCCAAGGCTAGTCAACGAGGAAAGAATGAAATTTTTCAACAAATGGTTCTAGGACAACTAGAGAGCTACATACAAAAGGATGAAGTTGGATCTTTGACTCAGACTATAAAAGTTAACTGAAATGGATAAAATACCTAAATGTAAGAGCTAACACTACAAAACTCTTAGAAGAAAACATAGGACTAAATCTTCATGAGCTCAGATTTGGCAGCAGTACTTTAGATATGCCACCAAGAGCTCAAGCAACAAAAGAAAAAATAGATAAACTGAACTTTATCAAAATAAAAATATCTGTCCTTTAAAGGACACTATCAAGAGAGTCAAAAGACAAAATGGGGAAAAATATGTATAAACTGTATCCAATAAGGGACTTGTATCTAAAATATATAAATAACTCTTATAACTCAATAACAAAAAGATATATAACCCAGCCAAAAACAGGCAAAGGACGTGAATAGACATTTCTCCAAAAAAGATATGTAAATGGCCAATAAGCACATAAAAAAATGTTCAACATCACTAGTCATCAAGGATGTGCAAATCAAACCACAATGAGATACCACTTCACACCCACTAGGATGGCTATAATAAAAATGTCTAAGATAATAACAGGTGTTAACGAGGATGGTAGAGAAATCAGAACCCTCATACCCTGCTGATAGGAATAAAAATGATGCAGCCAGTTTGAAACAGTCTGGAAGTTCCTCAAAATGTTCAACACAGAGTTATCAGTTGACCCGGCAATTCTACTCCTAGGTATATATCAAGAGAAATGAAAATGTATGTCCACACAAAAACTGGTACATAGATGTTCATAGAAGCATTACTCATAAAGGCCAAAGAGTGGAAACAATTCACATGTCCCTCAGCTAGTGAATGGATAAGCAAAATGTGGCATATCCATACAAAAGAATATTTTTCAGCCATAAAATGCAATGAAGTACTAATACATGTTATGACACGGATGAACCTTGAAAACATGCTAACTGAAAGAAGCCAGTCACAAAAACCTCACATATTGTATGATCCCATTTATAAGAAATGTCCCAAATGGGCAAATACAGAGAGACCGAAAGTAGATTTGTGGTTGCTTAGGGCTGAGGAAAAAGGGGTGATGATTGTGGGTCTAAAGTTGATGGTTGCAGAACTATGTAAATATACTAAAAATCATTACATTGTATACTTTAAGTGGGTGAATTGTATGGTATGTGAATTGTACCTAAATAAAGCTGTTACCAAAAAAAAATATTCCAAGGGAGGGGATGTGGAATACATACACACACACACATAAAATTATAACATCAGTCATTCTCCAAATCAATCTTAAAGAAATATGGCAAACCCAAGTGTAATTTTAATCAAAATCCCTGGAATTGCTACACTAAACAGACCACCCAGCTCCACTGCAAACTATCACATCCCAACTGAGGCAACCTGAGTATAATTCTGCATGGACCACATGCTCCTTCAGGTCCCCTTTCACCTTTCTATCTCTAAGTGTGGACAGCAGTGAATCACTGCAAACATTTACTGACCTGATCAAACAGCAACCTGGTGCTTTCAACACTGATTTCTTTTTCTACTGAATGGCAGTTTCAGATTCTGAAACCAGCACTCTAGTCAAGTACGACCACTCCCCACACATGCATATACTAAGACAGTGGAATGCCAAGCCGAGCACTGTTTCTTCTATACCAGTGTCACTGACAGCTTTCATGAGGAGTGATGTCAGGTTCTTAACACTGATGATGACATTCATAAGAAGATCCAAACAGGTGAACTCCAGGAGTTCATGATGTCAAACTAACCCAAAGGCTTGTTCTGGCTAAAGCCACTCAGAGGAACTGAAAGAGAGCTCAATTTGTGGGACACTGGGACCCTGAGGGATGAGATATGCACCTGACAGATGGCGTGGGTCAAGTCCCCACTGGCTGGCATTGCAGAGGAGACATCTAAAGAGAAGACAGTGTTTTCTCAAGGCTACGCCCTAACAGTCTCTTCGGCGGAAGCAGTGGTGATGCCGAGAGTGTACTTCCCTGCTATCTGGGTAGATAAATACAGGGATTTGGTAGAACAGACTTCAGCAACCCTATTCCAAATTCATGTTTGACTTTTAAAAACTATTCCTGGAGGCAAGATATCTACTCAGTATGAGACTAGAATCATGAAGCTCAATTACAGATTCTCAAACTTAAAAGAAACTTAAAAGATCATCTATAAATCAACTCCACTTGATACCTGAATCCCTTCTATAATGTCCATGACATCCAGTCTATAGTTGCACTGTCAAAAGGACTTGATTAAACAGAACAGTTCAAAGTACTGTGCACTGAATGCATCACAGTGCCTAGAATACAGTAGTCACTCAATATTTGTTCACTGATTGAATTAATTTTAAAGAATCAGAGCAGACTCATGATATTGCTATAATAAAGCTGCTCTTACAGTTCCTGAAGACAGAGAAGAGAGTAGGATTACAGGTCTGTCATGACTGGCATACCATCACAGCAATATTTCACACATGCAAATGCCATCCAAGCCAATACTGTCCATTATCTATGTTGCAATGGAAACAAACCAATAAACAAAACTTAGACCTGCTAATCTAGCTGTGCTAGCCTCCCTTCCATAATGAAGGGCTTCCTCTTCCCCAAGGAATCCCTTTCTGTCTCTGGGAAGTGCTGTTTAATTTGAGCTAGTAGTAAGCAAAGTTCTTCTGTATTCCACTGGCTTACTGGCTTCAACCTAGTTTGAGACTTGGTTTTAACTTCTAGGGCCATGCGGAACAAGTCCAATAGTTCTCCTACATGGCAATCCTTCAAATGCTTGAAGACACTCATTTAAAGAAGTCCCTCTTCCCCTGCCCTGTAGCATCTGCTTCTGTATTTGAAAGAATAGAGTTTTAAGTATCACCTGCCATAACTCAAAGAAACACAAAGACTGTAAGGAGAAGAGAGCAGGACCCTGGCCAGGTCTGCTCACCAGAGGTTGAGAGCCTGCTCCAGCTACAAAGCCACACCTAGGAGGGCAGGCCAGCGACCAAGCACATCATCCAATGGATGAGATCAGATCCTGGATCTGATTTAGGAAACAGTCCTTATCTGGGTTTTCATGGTTTGGTGGGGGGAATTTTCAGGCCCAGCTATCACAGGGAGGCAAAGCTTTCAGTAGAGAGTAACAGGCTGGTAGAGTCAGGTAGTCTATTATCATCCTGGAGGTCTAG